GTTTTCAAGAAAATTAGTACTAACATTAAATTACAAGATCATGCAGCTGTCTTTTGCCAGGAGTCTAATGTCGAGAGCCTTCACAATGCAGGAGAACAAATCTTTGTTGCATTATATGGAGGGTTACAAGATGTTGAAACATTAGATATGCTGCGCTACAGAATATTCGCCTCCAAAGTTTGCGTTGGAAATATATATGTACAAGTGCACACCCTCCCACCAACATCTGACGCTGCTAAGCTACATTGCATGAGAGTTTATCATCAAACTCAAGTTTGGATTGGGAAAGGTGATAAATTAGATCCAAAGGACTGGGGTTGGCATATTTAGGACAATAAATTGCTTCCAATTAGAACAATACTACCACCGGCTCCCGAAAAGCTTCTTAGGATAATCAGATGTAATTGCAAATTGAACTGTGACACAAAACGATGCTCCTGTCGTAAACACGGAATAGACTGTTCCCCAGCATGTGGGGAATGTCGGGGAATGAATTGTTCAAATACAAGTAACATTACAGAAGCCGATGAACTTGACGACATGTGAAGGCATCAATATGCATGTACATTGCAGAGACATATAACTATACATTAAGAAGACTTATATCAAAATTGTCTGTTTTTTGTTAAATTAAAACAAAATCAAATATTTTCAAAGATAAATTTTTCAGAAATTATATTTATCATCCTAATACTTTTAGGTGAAAACAAAAGTAACCAAGTAAAAATCAAAGTAATCAATTATTGAACAGTTTAGGCCATTTATTATATTAATTCAATGAATGTTATAACAAATCTAACATTAATACATTTTTTGTAGAAATTTATTTCAATTTTTTTGGGGGGGGGGGGGGGGGGGGGGTAATTTTGGACTAATTTCGTTGATAGATAAATAGATTTTCCTTAAAACAACCGTTTGCTTTCTTTTTTCACTTTGTAAATAATTGTAAATAATTGTGTTAAATGTTGTCCTTCAAAGCTGCCTTCAAAATAAAACGTTTGAAAACAGCCATATATGAATCTCAAATATATGGGTTTTTTTTGCATTTTTTTGTGATTTTATCATTAAAAGGGATAATTTTACCAATAAATTCTAACTCTGGATTGTAAATTTTACATCGGAAATGTTCTTTGTAGTTGTTTTTGTCATCCGAATTCGTTTTGACATTTGATTGGCTAACATAGTGCCATAATTTCGATTTTCAAAATTTTTTCACAATTTTCATCGATTTTTGGTTAAAATCAATGTTTTTAGCCCAAAATGGTGATTTCCGATCGTACGATTTTTCTAGACTTTTCATATATGATTGTGTCATGCCTTGGTATTGTAAAACCGTTGAAACCATTTCTGTTGCAATTTGTTTAGATTTATGCAATATTTGCCGTAGACAGACTAGACTATCTGTAACTGTTTTATATGTTCTAATGGTACATGTACACTTAACTATCATGACTATACGATTGTGAACTGACTATGTGTTAATATGTTGTATGTTTGCTTATTTCTCTTATTATTATTTTTTTACTTGTATTGTATATAAGGGCCTCAGGGAAGATTATTAATTGTAACTAACTGTGTTTACCCTCTTTAAATAAAGAATTTATTATTATTTTTATTATATTGTTGAACTAAACCATCTCTATTTTCGTCTTGAAAAGACTTGCGGTTCTTCTGCCTGGGGCTCATGAAATTCTATCTTCTCAAATATCAACCCTTAACATGATTTATCTATATGGAATAGCCTTGGCGCTCAAAAGGCAAATAAAGAAATAATTACCTTATATATTTCTCTGTCAGAATATCTTTTCAAAATTTTGTCGGTATCTGTGAAGAAAAAAATTAATGTTAATATTACACTCATTACAACTAATAATCATTGACTTACCATCATTGTGACTGAACTTCTAAATCTCGTCTTTGAATTCCTTACGGAGATTTTCCATTGCATTTTCAGAATCTTGGTTTCTATGTGGATCATTACTATAGTAATTACAATACATTTGTTATTCTCCTACGTTTTTCGAACATTTATAATTATGCTGGTTTCCCGGGCTTTTCTATGTCAACAACAACATGAGTTTTGTAAGTACAGCCGATTATTGGGTTTTCTACACGTTGATATAATAAAATATCGATAGATAGCCACACTGTGTGAATCTTGTTAAAGAGCTTAGAGGATTCACATTGTGTTGAACAGCCGATACTGTACGATATTTTTATGCAGAAAAGCCGCTTATCTATTTATAGTGCTAATTCTGTTCTCTTTGTATCCCTTAAGAGAGTTAAAACGCTTGACGGAGGTAATTTTGATACCTACTTCTCAAACATTGTGACGTCGGTGATAACTTCTCCTCAGACATTGTGATAGGTTCTGTCCATATCCTAAGGCCGTGATTTAAGAATTACGGAGGGACGTATCATGTTGAGTTAGGCAAAGGGAAAGACGACAATGGACAGTTTTAGCCTTGCTATTATTAAAGATTAGTTTTGAACCATTTGTAATAATCTACAGCACTCTTCTTTTCAAACTGGTTTTGCAATGTTTCTTTCTCTAATCTTATCCGCAAATTGAGAAAAGTTCCGATCGTTCTGAAAATATGTAAACCAGTTGAACGTGAAGCTCCCATGTAAAACTATTCAAAACTAACAAACGAAAATGATAACATGATATCCAGTAACAAAGGCAACCACTGAATTTAATGCATATCAATAATTAAAAGATTCATGTATTATTTGACAATAATATAAATAAAAGAATGTGTAGGTGTGCATCTATTCACTGCAAAAGAAATCAAGACATTTAGGGTGAACATACTGCTAGAAAACACATCTGTTTTACAATACATGTATATAATATGAATCAATCTATAATTCAATATAAGTCAAGTTGTGAAAAATTTACAATAAACGTAACTACTGCACGAACTTTCGAAAAGAACAATAATCAGTAAGATAATCATTCAGTATAGCCATATAAATTAAAATATATTAATTCCTGAAATACGAATGAAAATTGGGTTATAACTTTAATATTCTACTTATATGTATTAAAGATATTGATTTGATACAAAGTAGTAAGTTAGAATTTGGTAAAATAGGATGATACATATAAGTGGTTTATGCTACTAGTAAAATGAAAAGAGTAACTCTTCTAAATTGGCTACCATTCATTCAATTATATCCATTGAAAAGCTTTATATTCGAGGTGCATCTGATACTGATACTTGTATGGCATTTATACACAAATAATGAAAGATTTTTGTATCAGAAAAGTATATAAATTAAACGTTCGATATGGTATAGGAAAGATTTTGAAATTTTTGATTTTCTGGAAGGGACAGTAGTTAAGAGCAAAAATAAAATCATACAATTGTGAAACTATAGAGTAAAATAGACAAAATGATCCTTCGGCTTTAAAATGAATTATTTTGAATGAAAAAAGAGTGAATATTGAAATCTTAAAATATGATCAAGATTCTTTGATAAAAATCATGGGGTTTTAAATTTCAATCGAGAGAGGTAGCTATTTAAGATTTTTGGGTAGCAATTTGAATGTAGAGTACATAATTATAATAATAAAAAAATCTTCATCTTATACATTTATTTCAATAGGGTAGCTTGTTTGGATCCAACCAATCTTACACAGATACTTTAACTGGGATTGAATTTTTATTTTCTTCAATAAAACTACAATTTAATTAATTTTCGTTGTAATAATATATATATAAACATTTATTCTCCTGCTCATTATTATGCTAAACACTCTAGAATTATACTTTACAATAAGTACAAAGGGTGACAATTCTTAATGCATGCAGCCTCCTCCACTTATAACAGCTGCTTCCCTTGAAACTTAAAAAATAAGATAAAACAAATGTTTATGTTACAGCGCAAAAGATTGCGTTATTTCGCAAAGGTTTGCGTTATTTCGCAAAGATTTGCGTTATTTTGCATAGGTTTACGCAAACATAACAAGAAATATAGAAAAAAAATTTGGTGACGCTTATTCGCTTCCGAATCATAGTGTAAAAGTTGTGCAGTTTATTTTCCAGTGTTGACAATGACTTAAAGGGGAATGAATTTTCGGATTTTTGCACTCTTAGGTTTCTGTTTTCGACCCGGATTTGTTTTCGCTGAATCGATTTATGACTTTTGAACAGCGGTATACTACTGTTGCCTTTATTTATGTCTATTGTTGTTTTCCGAAAAGATTTAAAATAGCAGCATAATAAACAATACAAGAATTAAGACTCAAGCTTGTAGTACAATGCCCAAAGTAAAGATGGAAAAATGATGAGAGCCATTACTTTTGCCCCTTTAAATTGCACAAATAGTAATTTTGCAACGTTCCAAAATTATGTTAGTTCTTTTGCTAAAGGAAAAGGATGATACACTGTATAACCTGGAAACTTTAGTTTATAAATGTCAGTTGTGATATCACAATGACTTCATACACATGGTCATTTTTTCGTAGTTTTAGTTATGAGCCGAAGTCTTTTCAAAAAATTACATTTCACCCACATTAACATCTAAGTATATGATATTTTATAGCAAAATATCTTTTGGGTAGGGCATTGGCATATATCTTAATATCAATGACAACTCTGTAAATGAGGCAAAATTGTACTTTTGCATTTAATGCAAAAAATTTGAAGCCCTTACAAAAATATGTAAGACACAATTGAAAAATATAAATGATGTTATCTACCAAAGTAATGTCCTGTGAACAACTTTAGGGTGTTACTTGATAATTATAGTACTTTATGATTTTCAAATTTAAGGGGTATAAAGTGGACTTATAATATCATCTCTTAATTTTTGAATTTTAATGCCAAAATATCCAACAACATTGAAAAGTTTCTGCTCAAGAACTTCAACGATGAAAAGTAGCAGACATATTGTTTAAAGGCTTTACTGCCAATGACTAAAACACTTTAAATCTGTCTTATTTTGTAATTCATCACACTCAAATTAGTACTATAAAAAATAACGGATATATATTACAACAGATCATTGGAATAAATACCTGATTCTTGTACTCCTATAACAGCTGTTATTTCTTGTTTTTGCGTAACTGGTTGACCATTTATCCCTGAAACAACTTTTCCCAGGAAGTTGTGAACACTATGAGACAAGGATTCCTCAGTAACAAAAGCATCTTTTCTAATTTCAACATTTAAAACAAGGTCTGTTCTACTACTGCATGCTTCATCCAGACTTGAACTGTCTTCATCTGATGAAGATTCCAAATTTTCTGTAATTGTAAAGAGTACAATACATTCTATTTTATATATTTTGTTTCTAATCAAAGTCTTCACTATTCAAAACGCTTTGGTGTTTCTATTGTCCATTTGACTTCTATATATTTGCAGAAAAAATTCTTAAAAATCCATTTTTCAAATTATTATTTTTTTCCTTGATGTATGTTAATATATGATTTATACAAACTCTTACTATTAATTTCATAATTTTTGGTCTATAATTAAAAAAGTTTCTCATTAGGTCTCTATGACGTACAAAGATTTAATCCTTTCCGGAGAAGATAGCCAGTGTATAGCGAGAATGCAAATTTCTGATACAATTTTAACCAAGCAATATAAATTCTACAAGAAAGAAATGACCAACAACGCAAAATCGTCAACGCAGCCATACAAAACTTGCCAAATTTGCCTGCACTAATACCCAGACATAAGGGCCTAAAATCGATCAGTGACACAATAGAAAGTAACATATGAGAACTTGAAGAGATGGGGCGATTTCAGGAATCGTACGGAAGCCTATTATTACCACCAATTCTCAACAAAATTCTATGTTTTGTCAGACAAAATATTACTCGAGATCACGGTAATGTCTGTTGTGATATTTTAAGTTTACACAAATCAATAAAGAAAGACATTTGTATTCATGTAAATGTGAGGGAAAATGCTGTCTCATCTAGCTTACCTCTTAAAGTTATAGTTATAACTACAAATCTCTTTGAATAGACAAAAACCAAAACTACATCTATGTAATCAGATTACAACAATCGGACGAACCATCACAAGCCGGCTCTCGTATGTATTGTAAACATTAGCTATTTCAAAATTATGAGGTGACCCTTGCAAATGACCTGTACATTGATATCACTCAATGTAGCTCTATCCTTTAAGATACAGTACACTCCCTCTAGATTTTCAAACTATATCACAATTATGTCATAGATTTATTATAGTGCAGTGATATATCACTGAACTCTGATCCAGTTAGAACCAATGCCACTAATGCTATAAGGCAAGGTACTAAACGCCACATTGAACTCTACTGCAATTCATGTGACGGCTTCTAGGAAATCGAATATGCAAACATCTTCCAAACTAATTATAAGATTTTTGGCAGTATTAACGACATGAACGTGCAACGTTTTGTGTACTTCAGCGAATCATTTTCAACAATTCCTATCACAACACTATTAACGAAGGTATAACAAACACAAATGAAATAAATACTGGGTAAACTATAACAACAGAGAAATCCAATTACTGAAATACAGAAAAATCTATCAAAACACATTATACATGTAGTTGAACAAAAAAAGACATCATCAACTATAAATCCTTCATTTAAAGATAAAGCAACTTAATTACAAAAATATTTTTGTTTCTGTCATGACGAAACAATAATTCGTGACAAAAAAAAAGCAAGTAGCAGAACACTTCAAAGACTTTGTTTTTATGAATATAAAAAAGACATTTGACAACAACACAGCTGCAATCAAAAACCATTGAAGTGCTATAAAGAAAACTTGAACATGAAATCAAAACCGCCACATAAGAACTAGAATTTTCTACCATCTTAAATGAATTTGTAGACAAAAAAAAACATAAAAAAGGCCTAGGTGTAGATGGCATTTTAGTTAAAAATCTAAAATTAGCACAACCGGTGATCACAAAATCAATCACTTTCTGTTAATTCACAATTTTTCGAAAGGTATTCCACAAGGTTTTATACTGGGTCCCATACTTTTCAACACATTCTTTATTGAATTTTCCCTACCGTTCACAGTTGTCTATACTCTAAAAGTCTATTTTATACCAACAAATATAATCACAGCGATAACTGCACTTGAAACAGACAGTTTGGCTATGACATATTATTCTTTTCCAACCAAATAAAAGCAAATCCAGAATACTTTCAAGCTTATGAAAGTGGCCAAACAAGACAATATAAGGTTTGGCCTGGCATGTAACAAAATAAAATATGAAAAACGGGTCAAAATATTGGGCATCACTTAATTTTAAAATCTGCAAACAAACATAAAGACAGCTCCATATATTAAAAGAATTAGCAAAAACCAAAAACAAACTGGGGAAATTAACCATATAATACTCTTCCGTTATGTGTACTTCATTTTTTCTCTCACTATCTTGTCATTTCTGCAGCAAGACAAACGCTATAAAATTTGAAGAAAAAAATACAGAAAGAGCATTTTGTTTCCTTTACCGGGATTACAAAAGTACACGTATATGATGCAGTGCTATGAAAATTAAAAAAAATGTCATCTCTCAAAGCAAGCCTTAGATTATTGGCAGAAGAGGTGTTTAGAACAGTAGATAAGGAAAATCCAGTATATCTGCATAATTGATTTAAACTCGAGCGCCGGCCGTGCACTTGGTATAAACTTCGAAGTCTGAGGCAGTCTTGGTAATATATTCAAAAATCTACACAGAAACCTTGTGATTGGTTGAAAACATCCAAATGAACTAGAAAAAGCACCACTGATTGGATGTCATTTTCATTTAGGGGTATGACAAATGAAATTGCCCATTCATTATTCATTTTTTACTATCATGAGTATCAAAATCGGTTCCTGTTTGCTAAATAAGACAAATATCATGCTTGCAGAAGTACATTTTCTATTAACCATTATAGAACCATAAATCAGGATACTCCAAGTAAAATACCCCTTATCTGCAATATGAAAAACATGAAATCAATGAATGAATGCTGTATCGTACAATGTCTCAATTTACACTTGACATGTTTGATTACTCTCTTGTAACTGAAATTGAAAACTGAAACATACCTTCTAGTATAGAAAAGAAAACATCACACTGTTTCTTTGAAAAGCATTGCAAATCGGCAACCGCAAATACACGCTGAATGAAACTTTCCATTTCTCTGTACAACAAACTATCATCTTGCAGCAAACCAATAGCAATTTCCACATATAAAACAAGACTGCCTTCTTCAGCATACTTGAACTCAATTGACTCCGTGCTTATTTCACTTCGCCGAGAATAAAGGAGATCAGCTTTTTCTTGAGCATTCTTTATACCAGTCAATGTTATTGTCGACTTTATCATTCCTGGAATGAATGGGGATCAAGTTAAAAGCAATTCCATACTTTCACCCTTGTTAAGTATTCTTAGTTTATGTTTATATTTCTTACAAAAGGCTGTATTCAGACAATTTAAAATACTTATCCATGATATATATGACATAGATCTGATAATAAAAAAAAATAATGCCATTAATCTTTTCTGATAAAATGTTAAACTGCAAATGTATTACTATAATTTGTCACAATAAAACTTCAAAATAAGAAATTTGTAAGAATTAATTAATTCCTCTTTGTTATGAAAATTACTACCTTCTGTAGGACCTTTTGCTCTCAATTCCTCAATAACTGTTTGAGTTGACTGGTCCATGTAAACCTTTAAAGGTAAATCAGTCTTTACTTGGGTTTCTAATAATTCTGTAAAATATCAAGTGTATGAGAGAATATACAATGTATTCAATGTAGTGAATATCATAAAATGTCTAAAACACTTTTAATATCTAACATAAATAATCCATTCTTTTTTAATTTGAGAAAAAGGTGGGATACTTCAATATGTAAATGCTGGACATAGAACAATTAGTTTTGAAAGAAAATGTTGTGTTAAAGAAGGTTTCGTTTTTTAAAACCCAAAGTTAAAGACGAACTTCAAATTAAACATATGTCATACCAACTTATCATTGTGTTGCACTAAATGAAAAATCAGTCGAATAGTAAATGTCTTACTTCGATGCTGACAAACAAGAACGTTTGACATTAATATGTGTTCCTGTCAGAAATGCAACACCCTATTTTACCATTTATACATACGTTAGTGTTTATTTGATTTAAAAATATTTGATATGAATCCTGATTTATACACGTTTGAAGATCTTCTGCGACTTCTATATATATAATACCATGAAAACAATACAATTGGAAACGTGTTATGCTCTAATAGTAAAAGGCATGGTGTACAAAAGTTGTATAGAAGTCTCGCTGAGGAAACAACCATGGAAAGTTCCAGTCAGATTTGCGCTCATTTTTGTGTTCAAATTTAGAATTGTTTGTTTAATTTTTTATGAATTGTATTACATTAGATATTTTGGCTTGATTATAATGCGCTAGGTCACAAGACAACAGGAAAACATTTCACCCCACATTTGACATATTTTTCATACTGAGAATATGAATTTGCTCTTTCCCTACAACATGTTTGTTTGGTAGATAGGTAGCAAATACAAAATTTAAAGTGGACAATAATACCATATCTCTGTTATTTAACTGGTGCTCTGTAAATAAGCCCTCAGATGTATGTTGTTTCTTCAATATGGTTTTCATTAATACGAAGAAACTTATTTTTGAAAGCTATCGTTGAGTATTGTAAATTCAAAAATGTAAACATATATAGAATAACCATACATTGTCTCGAAATATAAATTTTATTTGTACAAGACTTAAAAACAGGTAGAAAGCGAGGCTGTGCCGAGCATTTCTATCCTGTTTTGAGCCGAGTACAAATAAAATTTATATTTCGAGACAATGTATGGTTATTCTTTATATACTGCAACTCCTACAACTGTTCCAAATGAAATATTTAGGGTAAAAACCATCATTTTTTTTAATTTACAGCGTAAAAATTCCGTGAACCTGTACCTTTTAAATGATGTCATAAATAAAACTCTATGGAAACGCATTGTCAACGTCGTAAACAAGGCGATGTACGGTCAGTGACTGTATATCACAAATGATTATACGGTCAATTTAATTTGACTGTGCAAATAGCACAACCGCAGTATATACCCAGTTGGAAAGCAGGTCACGGTTTGACCCCAATTCTATCACCAACAATAGTCACGTGACATTGAAAATTCTGTAAAACTACGGAAGAGACAAACCTCATTTTTTCTAAATAATATACCACTGTCATGATAAAAACGTACCAATCAAAATAATCTTCAGTATATATAGTTTTCACTCTTCAAAATTTACACATCAACTAAAAGTCCTTCTTTCTTAATTTTATCTTCAAACCTGAAGTTTGCGTGAAAATTGTCAAGTCTCCTGATCGAAAAATCTAAATATTTTCGAGGAAACTAAAAATGATGGGCTGAATTTGAATTTAATAAGGCATCTCATTAGGACAAACACTCGATATGAATATCCAGGCAACAGAGTTTTGGATACGCAAACGTCAAGTTATTTTCAACACGAAGCGGTGTTTTTTTGCCGATTTTGTGCAAGTGGTTATCTCCCCTGATATCACAAGTCTAAAATGAAAATCAAACAAAATCAATGAAAAGGGGTTAACATCACAAAAATCAAGAAGAAAATAAACAAAATTCGATTTAGAACTATGGTTTTTTAATATTTACAAGACATACCTGCCTCCTTTTCAGAGAAGGATAAGAGGTCAAGATTAAAAGACAATAAATTGGTTAAAAATTATGAAATGTCTCCTAGAAAACTAGCTGAATTGATATAAATTAGCTCTGGCTGATTAAATTTCCATTGTAATTGTAATAATGGGATATAGGATCACTCTTGGTAGAATTTTCCTAAATACATCTAACAATGTTTGAAGCAATAAAATATCTTGTCACAATTTAAAAAAAAATCTTTTGGAAATAAATATAATAAACACTACTAGTACTGATCATTTAGATTTTTACATTCTAAAAAGTGAGACCCAGAGTCACAATAGTTTCTTCATAGCAAAAAGGCCTTTTAACTCCATCTTTGTTTCTTTGTTGAACAGTGCAGTACTGCCTAGAAAATATCCTACAGAAAAAAGGATAAGTTTACCAGAAATATTTTAGAATAACTTATTTTCACTGAACAATAGAAATTCTGTAAAAGATAATAATTAAAATGATAGTATTTATTTAAGTGGCATAATTCTGAATTTTAAAATCATTACATTATTAAATGAAATGAAATTATTAAATTAGCTACCACAGTAGCCCTTGCCAAATTTCTCAGGGTATTCTATAGATTAGGAAAGTAAATCTTTTAGAAAAAATCTAAAAACTGGGGCTTCTAGTCTACTCTTCAAGTTGCTGTGTCAGCTGGTATAAATAAATATTGTATACTTGTACCTAAATAATTGTATATATATATATATCACAAATTACAAGAGAATTATTTGATAGTTGGTGGGATAGATGTGACAGCGATATATTCCTCTTTGTTTTGTTTCGTGGAAATTCAAACTTTACCTAAAAGCAAGCGACTATTGTTCTCGAAATTGTTAGCTTACATGTTGAGAAGTTAATCCATTTTAATCCTAGCATTGTCCATTTCTTGTTATCATATATATGTTTTTTAATTGTATTATTTGTTTGAATCATTAAGTGACAAATTTCATTATTACATGTAGTTATGATTAAGTAAGATTACGTAATTCATAATAGAGATTTCCAATAAAATGACATTACTCTACATAACCAACGTATCTGAACGTATCTCGGCCTATTGCAATGAAGCATGATTTTTTTTTGCTCGTTGAATACATTATGTATGTATTATGTTGGAATATATGTTATTAAAAAATTATCCAAATCTACTATTTTAAATCTTTACATATTTTGTTATCGAATTCTGGAAGATTTTTATTGACAACGACCTTTAAGAGAATAAATAATCCAGTTACCGGAATCAAATGCACCGATCGTTACTTGGTCATTTCACTTGACCCATATATTTAGTTTTCAAATGAGGAATTTTTAAAACCACTAAAATAAAAATTAAGTTTGAAATAATAAAAATAATGAAATCTGAAGCGAGGTGATATTCTCATTTTTGATTTATAAGTAATGATGTGAAAACAAGAGTTTCTAACACGCCGGAATGTAAAAGGTGTACACGACTAACTTCTTTTTTTTTTAGCATAATTCTATAATTTATTTCAAGATACTTTTGTCCGACTCAAAAATACAGATAACAATGCGTCTATCTGATAGCACTTTGTCATCTTTCCGTAGAATTTAATAAAATGGAATATGGAATTTATTGGAATGCATCTTCAAGAAAAACATGATTACACTTTACTAAATCAGTATTTTTTTCCCTTCTTTTTTTAAAAAGATGCATGGGTATAATTTAACGTCATTGCTCACAAATTGTTTTTGTGAAATGTTTGGAGTGCAACTTATACAAATACGTCTGAAAAACGGACATAAACATGTATGGAATTTTTTATTGTAGTTTTGTTGAGTAGGATTCTTTTATTTTTATTACCAACTTATGTGGAGCAGGATCTGCTTACCCTTCCGGAGCATCTGAGATCACCCACAGTTTTTGGTGGGGTTCGTGTTGCTCAGTCTTTTGTTTTTTGTGTTGTGTTTTGTATACTGTTGTTTGTCTGTTTGTCTTTTATTTTTTTAGCCATGGCGTTGTCAGTTTATTTTCGACTTATGAGTTTGAATGCCCCTTTTGCCTTTCTTTTATGATAGCAAGGGGTTATTATATTTTCTTATCTGTTTGTCTGTCCTTTCATCCGTCCCGTTCCAATTTTAAAACTTTTAGAATTATAACAAATCAGGGTTTTACCTAAATTAAGTGGTTTTCTGAACATGGAAATGTGATAATGTCAGGGGGCTAACATGTACATGTATGCGTATCTTCAATATTTATAACCGCCTCTGTGGTTCTGTAGTAGCTTGCTCGCCTCGGGTGCGGGAGGTCCTGGGTTCGATACCCGGCTGGTTCAAATCAAAGATTGACTGCATCTCTGCTAAGCACGCGATATATGGTATAGGAGTAAGAGCAAAATTTATGGTCCGGAGTCAGAATTATGTGTCCAGGTAGAGTGTCATGTCATCCTGTGGACCTTGTGAACTAGCATGATAAAAAATTTGGACCAGCGTGTAGGTCTAGTATAAAGTCGGGTTCATATTCATTCTCTCGTCTTGAATATGCATATTCAAACTACATATGCAATGAACACTTATTGTCCAACATCCTGTTGATACTTATATTTTAGCGTTGCGCAAAGTCGTGATCTTCTACACTGCATTGGGAATAAAAACACCGAAAAGGAAAATATTAACGTGCGCTTGGACTGAATTGCGCATCGAAATCATATCATCTTATTTTTTATTCTATGTTTCTGACTTATGACACTTGCACTACAATGATTTATGCAGTTAAAAAAATTGTTTATCAATAAATGGATAAAATACTATAAGTGAAGGCACTTCGAGGGATATAAAATATGTTGCCTGGAAATGTCTTTTGTATTTGGACTTGTATAGCATTTTAAAATGTTGTCCCCGTTAAACAAGATTACACAGAACAATCCTTTATCGAACACATCTTCTAAAATACAACCTCTATAGGGAATTTTTTATTTATTAACTTTATAATAAATGGAAAATACGTTAACTTAGAAATGAATTGGAAGCGATAGTTTTATCTCAATTTTTCAACTTTAATCG